TGGAAATTGGACCTAAAATAGTCCTGAAGTACCTCTTGGTACTTTTATTCCTAATTTCACTGGCTGTCTTATTCCAACCTCAGTGTCCTTCCTTGAGTCACTCGTATCCTGACTACTATTAAAGGATGGTGCTTGGGAATCTCGATCTTAAATCCTTTATTAAATCCCATTTCCTCTTCCAGTTGAGGTAGTCCTAGGACTCAGCTTTCTTCGTGTGGGTTGGCCCAGTTTCTCACCCTGATGTGCATCTCTGGGCATCCACTGGAAGCGATGTGTAGACTGTTTCCTGCTATAGTCAGCTTGGACCAGTTAGATGCATGGATATGGGGAGCTGTGGCCTTCTGCTTGCTGGAGAACAAGGCTCCCTGAGCCTGATCTCTAAGGAAGCAGAGGGCCTAGCCGGTGCACAGCAGTCAGTTTAATCCTCTGCCCTGTCGCTGGGACTATTTTTTCGCACCAAGTGCTTCCATTCATACATGATTTGGGAAGCTGAGCTCCACTGGTTCTCAGTACTGACCCTGGCCCGAATGACTCTCAAGTTATGCTGCGTGTCCGGCCAGCTGTCAGTGGAGTCCGCTATTACCCCAAGGCCATAATGTGACATCGTTTTGAAGAAGTTATATCACTGAGGAAACTAGCAGCTGCTGCCCCCTGTGAGGTTCCTCTTAACATTCCTCTCAGCCTCGGTCTGACATTCTTTCACTCCCACCTCCCACATGCTCACTTTGTGCTTTCATAAATAGCCAGAAAAGCTTCTAAAAGCTTGAAGGTAACATCCTTTGCTTCCGTACAGTATTTTATATTCTTCAAAGGACTTCCATATACATATTATCATTTGATCTTCACAAAACCTTTCATTTATGTAGGTTAGTTATATTATCCTGATTTCACCCATGACGAAATAGAGTCAGTAATTAGGTGACTTGTCCCTCCTTAGGTACTTGGTTAGTGTGAGCCTGGTTGAAATTTTAGGTTGGTGATTTCCTTTGCTCATTATCTGCTCATTCATTTATCTACTCTTACTGAAAAGTGGCCCCATAATGAAAAAAGAAAAAAAATTTGAGTCCAGCAAGTGTGGATTTGAAATTTGATACAACCCTCTATTTGCTATGAGTTTTTTAATGTATTTGGTACAAGGTCTACAGGGTCTCACTACTAGATCAGACTCATAGTGATTCTCTATTTTTAGTTTCCGAAGTGCTGGGATTACAGGTGCGCTCTACCATGCCTAGTCTCAATAGCCATCTCAGCATGCCCCAGGGGCAGAGCCAGAATGACATGCTGGGGATCGAACCCTAGTCACTGAGCCTGCCCAAGCAAGTGCTTTAGTCCACTGAGCTATCTGGCTGGCCCTGTTTATATGTTCTTGATTGTGTACTTAACCTCTCAGATCAATTTCTTCATTTGTAATATAAGAAAAAATTATGACCTATGATGTTTAATTGAGGCCAAATAATGGAAGAAAATTACGTGGCAATAACAGTGCCTGACACATAGTAGGTTGAGCTATTATAGATAAAAATGGCCCAATGTCAGCAGTTTTATATATGGTCTAACCTAGCTGTAGCAACTGAATATTGGATCACTTTTATTGAATAAATCTCCATTTGTTGTATATGGTATACTACTAGGTCCCAAGAAATAAGACAGGGTATTCCTTATGTGTCTGCATCTTCTGAAAAACTAGAGCCCTGCAGGCTAGTGCCCTCATCTGTTGCATTCTCTGCACCAAAAACAATATCTTGATGGTAGCAGATGCTTCCTAAATAAATGCTGCCTGAATTAAGAAGATGCTTACTTCTTAATGAGGATACTACCTGCCAGTTGAGATAGGCAGACACACGATCATATAATTCTAATAAACTGCCCACGAGGAGTTGATCAACCACGTAAGACAGTCAGATGCATAATCATGTAATATGCCAGTACTGTTCGATAGACACATACAGGATTAAATGTGAGCTCAAAGGAAGCAATGTTCATCTCTACTGAGGGAGGATGAAATGCAGTGATACAGAGGGGCATCAGTCTTATAGAACAGGTGCATTAAGACTTGTGGTCCAGCCGAGGAAAGGAGCAGCACTACTTGGCTTCTCTTGGACTGCATGCTTTCTCTTAACCATCCCTTTTCTGCTGTCTGAAATTGAGTCTGTATTCAAAGCACCTTCTTCTTTGTCTCACAGTACCTTTTTGACTGATATCTCTCATCATGTATTGCCCTGTAAAGTCCTTTGCTTCACCCTGAGTATAAAAGAGATGCTTGGTAAAACTCAAGTTTATTCTTTGAGTGCCATGCTAGCCACTGCATAACCAAGTGTAATTCATTGTGTGAAAAGCATTAGAGAAACACAGAAGATATTTTAAGGGAGTCAATAAAACCTCAAAGTGGGAGCGTGCAGAGTGCATTAAAGTTAATAAACTGTCATGGCAGACAGGATCACTTTTAAATGTGAATGTGAAGGAATCTAATTTAGGGACTTGTAACTGTAGGATTAGCATCCCACTGAAATGAAGTTAGCTGCTAGTTTTGCCAAATTCTAAATCTTTTGATTCTCCTGAAGAACCAATCCTCAGCTCTTTGTGGTGTGAATTTAACTCTTTTCAGTACTCTGGTTTCTCTTCAGATCATATAAATCTTTCGCCTTTTAACTCTTTTCCTCTGACTATTTGGTCTGCTCAACTGTATCGATACTGTTGCTTTTCTTTAAACTCTGGGAGGATGGGTATAGGCCTTGGTTCTCCTGCTCCATGGGTGCATCCCATCAGCCTGAATTTTCAGGGCTCTTGGAGTTATTTACTTTCCACATGGTGAAATGGGGACTTGGAAATGGACAGGAGTCACCTTTGCTTAGACTCACTCCACCCAGCTACTGGTCTGTCTATTCGCAAGAGCGAGACAGAGCAATCGATACAGGTCTACTTCTTGGCAGTGGTGAAGGATGACTACAACAGCAAGGGTTCCAAGATGCTTTGTGCCAAGAGCTGGATTGGATTTTGTGCTTCTTCATCCACAAAATGTCCCCATCATCTTACTCCCGAATTATTAATGCCCTTTGTGGTCAGTGTCCTCGGCGTTAATACTTGATTATCTTTATTTAACACCCTCATTTTCATTTTTTCTTTTTGTTAGCCAGATTCTCACTTTTTTTCACCTGCCTAATATCTCACTTCTTTATTTTTTCAAATAAACAGGGTTTATTCAGGAGTATCTTCATCCTTGGTTTCTTGCTCTCTGTTTCACAGAAGAAGAATTTCTGATTCTGGATCTAAATGTAGTTTGTAGCATACTCCCTTACTATACAAGAATGCTTTGTTTCTATCTTGGCATTCTGACTTTGAGCAATTACATAATTATTTTGAGCTTTAGTTTCTGTATTTGAGAAATGGGAATAAAATATTGGGCCAGGGAGGTAGCTCAGTGGCATAAGCACCTGCCTGACAAGCACACAGTCCCAAGTTCAACCCCTGGTACTGCAAATAAAATAACATAAAATAATTTACAGGGTTTCCACAAGGACCAAGGAGATTACATGTAAGAGGCACCTGAGACAGTATCACAAAACAAGTGTATAATAAATCACTATTTAAAACAAAGCAACAAATGCAGGACTCAGTCTATTAAAATAAGAATGATTTTTAGAGAATGATGGGAAACATAAAGAGAAATGACCAATGCTTACATGCTGCAGAGCTCTGTGTTTTTGATCTACTGTACAGTATAAGATTTAGGATCATGTGTAGAAGTCAAAAAGCAGGAATTCTTTGTAAAGAAAGAGTGGTAAGATGTATGCCAATATGTAGTCAGTAATTTTGGACTATTATGAGATCCCATCAGAAAAATTGAACTCTTTTTTCAAAAGTCAAAAGCTCTGGGTTCAAGTTTGGTTTTGCTTAATATTCTTCTGGTTTTGAATAGGCCAATAAGTTTGTTTGAAACTTGGCATCAACATCTATGAAAAGGGGTGATGACATTCTTATCTTTCCCCACTAGACTTTCATTAGGATCATTTTCTTTCTTCTTTCTTTCTTTCTTTCTTTCTTTCTTTCTTTCTTTCTTTCTTTTCTTTTTTCTTTCTTTCTTTCTTTCTTTCTTTCTTTCTTTCTTTCTTTCTTTCTTTCTTTCATATTTTAGGACAGTGTCTACAGGGTCTATAGGGTCTCACCATGTAGATCAGACTCGTAGTGATTGTCCTGTTTTCAGCCTCCTGAATGCTCGGACTACAGGCACACCATCACACCCAGTCTCAATCGCTGCCTCAGTGTGCCTGAGGGGCAGGGCCAGCGCTGCACACTGGGGACTGAACCCGGCCACTGTGCTCTGCCTAAGCAGGTGCTTTAGTCTGCTGAGCTATCTGGCCGGCTCTTCATAAGGATCAATTGTAAGGATCACTGGAAAATACTGCCCTTATATCAAATGTTCTTATAATTTAGTATTTTAGGGATAGGGCACTAAGAGTGTTGCTAAAGCTTTTGTTAGCTCTTGTCCTTTGAGAGGCAAACACAAAGGGGAAGCAGCGAGAGTGAGGGGCCTCTGCCTCGGAGGCTCCCGTGCACAGCTCATCCAGGCCATGCTCTGGTGCTGGCCCCTGATGAGCCCAATTTGCTGCTCATGTGGCCAGGAGCAGCTGGAGGATGGATTCTAACCACAGTGCCGGGGTCACCAGCAACAGCATGGCCCCGCCTGCAGACTGCTGTGCACGTGCACGAAGCGCGAGCGCCTGGGATACTTGTGTCCCCTTTTCCTTGCGTGTCCCTGTCCATTGCAATAGAATTACTTATTGTTTTGCTCAAAGATATCTGAGGCCTTTGAAAGTTTCTTTTCCTCTTATTCTGCTGAGCAAAGAGCAGAGAGAGCTTAGAGACTGGGATAACTGTCGGAAGGTGGGTTTGATAATCAGTAGAAGAAAATAGGGCCCTTGAATTGCACTGTTCAACCTCTTCAAAGACCGGTTGTGTAGTGTGCATCATATTTTAACCACGCTCTCTTTTTGTCCTTTCAGGGAGTCGACAAGCTAAAGATGAAGCCCAGAGCAGAGTGCTGTTCTCCCAAGTTCTGGTTGGTGTTGGCCGTGCTGGTCGTGTCTGGCAGCAGAGCCAGGTCTCAGAAGAGCCCCCCCAGCATTGGCATTGCTGTCATCCTCGTGGGCACTTCAGACGAGGTGGCCATCAAGGATGCCCACGAGAAAGATGATTTCCACCATCTCTCCGTGGTGCCCCGAGTGGAGCTGGTAGCCATGAATGAGACCGACCCAAAGAGTATCATCACCCGCATCTGCGATCTCATGTCTGACCGGAAGATCCAGGGTGTGGTGTTTGCTGATGATACAGACCAGGAAGCCATCGCCCAGATCCTTGATTTCATTTCCGCTCAGACTCTCACGCCCATCCTGGGCATCCACGGGGGCTCCTCCATGATCATGGCAGACAAGGTAAAAGGGGGCCGAGCAAGAAGAGCGTGGGGGGGGGGGCGGGTGTTGGGCATCAAATGATACATGCGTTTGTTTTTGGGCAAAAGTGGGCTGTTAAAAATAGAAATTAACTGGGATGCATTGAGCGAGTGGATCAGCCAAATTGTTCTGAGATGAAAGTCAGAGAAAGAAGCTGGTATATAGATGCTTCTATAGTTTAGAACCAGTGGTGTTTTTTTGTTTGTTTGTAAATGGACCTGCTGAAGTTACTCCAAGATGTTGACACTTGTGGTTTTGATGTGTTTTCTTCAAAGAGTTGTGTGAAAATCACCACTTCAGTATTTTAAAATAAGGCCTGCTTTTTTCCTCCCCACCATAATGATTTTGTGAAAATAAAAAGGCAGGGAATTGCTTCCACAGAGACACAAACGTCATGGGAAGGGACAGTACCCACATATCACTCACACTGCCCTGGGCACGGAAATGGGTTGGAATCCCTGGAGCCGTCACAACCACCTTTTCCTCATGCTTAGATTTGAAGCGATGGTCCTCAGCCTTGGCTGCATGTTGGCCTCACCTGAAGAGCAGTCACTACCACTGAGGTCTGTTTCCTGTTCCCAGATACCCTGGTTATTAGCTCTGGGCTCCAGGATTCTGAAAAACTTCCTAGGTGACCCTGGCCTGCAGTTAGGGTTAAGAATCACTGCCTTAAAGCCAAAACTTACTCTTGATCTTTTGTGCCTTAATGTTTGATCATCTCTTGACAGACTAATTATCATCTGGAATTAGTGCTTAGCCTCCAACTACAGAGGAAGTGTGTTGTTTTGCTTTTGCATTTTTAGTCATTCATTATTTTTCCGTGCTTTATTGATTAGTGGGTGCAACACTTCTCACATACGTATTGTCCTCTCAGCCATTTATATCTTAAAATGATTCATTTCACCCTAAGTGCTACGTTTTTTCACTTGTATCATTTTGTATTTTTAAAATTGTCCCTCCTTAGCATTGGTATCTTAAACTTTTCATTATCACTTTCAAAACCACCTTTAGTGCTGTACATAAAAGACATGCTGTGGGGTTAATGATGTCCATTGACATCTCCAAACCTCCGCAGATACCAAGAGCATTCACTTGGGAGTCTACCCATTGCCTTCGCTTGGCGGAGGCCAGAAGAGCCTTGCGCGTCCGCTGTCGCCCTCTGTCGGCGGCAGGCAGAGGTGATTAGCTCATGGTTCAGCTTTCCTGCCTTCAGTCCAGAAATGATCAGGATCAAAGTGTGAAGGATTGAAGGAAAGGGAGGGTAATGGGAAAAAATAATAATAATAAGTAATATTATGTACAAGTACAAACTCCCTATGATGAATGTGGTCATTATACACATCAAAAATTAATAATTTTTAAAAAACAAGGCAGAATCATACACGAAACATGATCTTTCATCCACGTGAATACATGCAGGTGTTGGAGGTAACTAGCAGTATAAGTAGCCCCATCTATGGGACGAGGGATAAACTCTAAATGAAAAGTGTACTGGCTGAGGCAAAATCCTATGATTTTTGCTTCAGGTAGCTATTTCTCTAAAATATTATTATGCTTAGTAAATCATAGTTTATTTCACTAGTGGGAATTTATCAAACATAGTGTTGCATCGAAGTAATGTTGATATAGATAACGGTCAAATATTTAAATCCTAAATAAATGCATTCTTCTTTTGAGAGTAGTAGAAGTAAAAATGATATTTTAAAAACATGGGGTATTGTAAATCTGTTTTATTTCCTCCCAGTAGGAAAGATTATCCCTAAACTGGTTGAAGGTATCTTTCTGATCTCTCTTACAAATTTCTAACATTAATACAAGAATATGAGCTTAAACACAGCCCATGTGAAGGGTTATTCTCTTGACTAATCTAGGTGACTTAAGAGAGTTCCCATACTCTGTCCTTTCATGAGCTAAAATATTATTTGATCTGCTTCTTACAGTTGGGGAAACTGAGGATCTAGGTGGTTAAATAATGCATCTAGAATAATATATTGAAAGTGATAGCAACATTTTTTCACACTTGCTGCTGGCTGGAAAGTTCATGTACTATCGCTCCTTAAGAAAATGAGACCTGAATTCACAGGTCTTAAGTACCTATCTACTTTCTCCTTTTTCCTTTATTATGTGACATTGTGGGAGATGTCATGTGAATGAAAATTGATTCATAATCAAGCAATACAAAAATCTCACCACGGGAGGGGACTGACAAGAATGTGACATGGCACAATGCCTAGGCATAAAGCAATCCCACAGAGGGTTCACTGGGTGTTACTTCTGGATGCAAAAGGCAGAACTGAATCCAGTGATGGTTCTTCCAGATCCCTGTAATGAGACTCCCACTCTGGTTACCTCTCCCTTTCTCTTGTCCTCATTGACACTATGTCCTTGACTTCATCATATTTTGGGAAGTGAGACCAAGAATTGAACTCATGACTTCACACTGGCCAGGCAGGTGCTGTGCTGCTGAACTATATCCCCAGCCCCATCTTATCTTTTCCGGTCTCCATTAATAGAAAGACGTGGACAGTGATCTTTGGATGATTCCTTAAAGTAATCTAAGTCATATTTAAGTGACTTTAGATCCAATGAAAAGAATTTCTAAAAAGTAGACAGCAAGAGGAAAAATAAGGACATCCTAACAGCCTGTAAGTTGGATGCCTGCACAGTGGCTGGAGAGGAGGAATACAGCAGGAGCCATAGTCACCAGCACCAGGAGGGCTCAGTGCCAAGATTCCCAGGAGCTCGCAGGAGAGTATTGATAGATTCAAGAATTTGCATGAAAGCCAAAAAAGAGTCCCTCAGGCAGGTGTGGTGCCACATGCCTACAATCCCAGCTGTTCTGGAAGCTGAGACAGGAAGATTGCAAATTCAGGGCCTGCCTGGGCAACTTACAGACAGCCTGTCTCAAAATAAACCCTTAATGAGTCCTAGGGATGCAAAATCGGGTGCTAGAGCCCTTGCCAAAACTGTGCAAGGCCCTGGGCTTAATCCTCGGTGCTGGGGGGTCAAGGAATAAAAGAGTCTCCCAGGTCGTGGAGAAGGCTTTGAACAAGTTTCAGAACTCAACCTATTCAAAATCTAAGACCAGTTTTTTTTAAAATAAAAATGTATTTTTATATATGATGACTATGATTTGGTTTTCTTTAAAAAGAAAAAGAAAAAAAACAATAAAATGGAGTTTCAAAATAAATTAATAGGAGAGTTACAATAATTAATATATTGTATATTATTGTCTTCATAGTAGTTTTTCAGGAAGATATAGGCATGGTATCTTGTCCAAACAATATTAGCACAAAGCTTTTTTTTTTGCAGCGAGCTAAAAGAAACTAGTGGCACACCACGATTTGTAAACACAGAATGGGGACATACAGGTTGGCAGCTATTAATCCACAATGCATCAATGGGACAAGCTTTTGAAGGTGGAGATAACTAGGCTGTGTTTGAGACTTACAATGACTATCTGAAGGGTGATAAATAAATCTTCCATTTCACTTCCTCCTTTTCAGAGACAGGTAATTGCCACTTCATTAAAATTTCTTTTTTGTCGTTAGTTTGTTTAGAATAAAACCCACTTATTAAGTGCTCTTGTCACAGATTGCATTACAGGGATGAAGTCCTGCTTTTGAAAGAGTTTTTAATGTAGAGAAGATGGCACTATTGTAAGAGACTTTTGATACGATAATGGAGACACCGTTCAGCACTTCAGCGTCTGGTCACATAGCGTGTGTTCACTTTTTTGTATATGCTAATTAATCAGTAAAAGCATTAATTGGTACTCTGCTTTCTTGATGAAGAAATATACATGATACTGTGGCAGAGAAGAGTACAGGAGAGAATAGAGACTGTCTAAGGGCTCCAAACCAGAGGCAGAGCTGGTTTCAAACTTCACTTCCTAGATGCGTAGTTCTGTGCGGACCACCAACTCCTTACACATAGTCTTGGTTCCTGGCTGCATAGTAGGAATAATGTGAAGCTGTTGTTGGGTTGCTGAGGATTAAGTGCTGAGATAATACATGACAAGTGCCTCATGAAGTGGCCAGCATAGCACACTGCCGGGGAAGGAGGTTATGTGGAGCAGTTTGGAGCAAGTGAGATCTCCCTCGTGGCACAGGCAAAGAGTGAGAACTGCATGGAGCCACAGATAGTGGTGGGTTGGGTCTGGATTGGAGAACAACCCAGAGTCTCAAAAAGGGGTTTGAATTTTGGGGCTGAGGACTTGGTCTTGTCCCAGCATAGAAACTGAAGCTCATTAGAGTGTAAAACTTGCCACAGTCAAAAATGACACATTTACATAAAGGAAAGCTGTAACTAAAAAGAGCGGAGGGGTGCTTGTAATAGGAGACTATTTACAGTCACCATGGAGAAAATCATTAAAGATGCATGAGGTGCTTTTTGGCAGTTCCCCACCTGAGTATTAAGAACCTATTTTATTTTGTCCTGTAATAATTGCTTTTATTCTCTCTGAGATCCTGGATTTAGGATCCCCATTGAAACCCAAGTAATGAACTAGAACTAGATGTATTTCCATTTCTTTCTAGGCATATTCTTTCTTCATCTGCTGAAATCTTTCTTGGATTTTCACAGTTTAACTCAGAGAGGTTAAGTAACTAATGCAGGAGATCACAGCTCATAATTAGCAATGGGACTGGGATTCAAATCCCAGAAATACTTGTCTTGAAGCCCATGCTTTCTATTATACAGTTTTGCCTCATGAGATACTGAGCTAAGAATTGTAACTCTGAAGTTTTAATCTCCATTCTGATGAGCTTTAGAAATTTGGGCAATCAGATCACTTAAGCTACATGATACTCCAAGTATGGTTTGTAAGACATAATTTTTGTTTTCATCCTACCCAATTTACAACATTTTGAAGATAAGATGGAATAAAATATGTAGAAAATGTTAGAACAGCACTGTGCAAACAGGCTCTGTAGGTGAGGAAAATAGGGATTGGTGGTAGGAAGTGAGAGTCCCTGACAATT